TCCAGGAGGACACCCAAGTTGCGAACCCTCTCCGTGGGGGCCAGTGACTCGCCCCCAATAGTCAGCGATGGCACCAACTGACTATATCGGGATGTCGGAAACCACAGCCACTCGGTCTTGGATGGGTTGAGCCTGAGTCTGTTTCTCCCCGTCCAGATCCGCACGGCCTCCAGGCACCGGGACATCACTTCAAGGGCATCATTGGGGTGGTCCGGGGTGGAGATGTACAGCTGAGTATCATCAGCGTACTGGTGGTACTTCACCCCGAAACCACGGATGATCTCACCCAGCGGCTTCACATAAATGTTGAACAGAAGGGGCGAGAGGACCGACCCTTGTGGCATCCCACATACAAGGGGCCTCGGGGTCGACCTCTGCCCCCCTGTCAACACAGACTGCGACCGGTCAGAGAGAAAGGAGGAGAACCACCGTAGAACGGTGCCCCCCACCCCTAACTCCTCTAGCCGGTGCAGCATGATACCATGGTCGATGGTATCAAAAGCCGCTGAGAGGTCTAATAGGACCAGGACAGAGGAACAGCCCCTGTCCCGAGCCCTCCAGAGATCATCAACCAACGCGACCAATGCTGTTTCAGTGCTGTACCCAGGCCTGAAGCCCGACTGGAACGGATCCAGATACGACGATTCATCCAGGTACTGGGGGAGCTGTCGCGCTACCACAGTTTCAACAACCTTCGCAACGAAGCGAAGGTTGGAGACTGGACGATAATTTGCCAACACTGCCGGGTCCAGGGAAGGTTTCTTGAGGAGAGGCCTCACCACCGCCTCTTTCAAGGCGGCAGGGAAGACACCCTCACTCAAGGAAGCATTTATAATCCCCTGGAGCCAGCCTCGTGTAACCTCCCGAGAGGCCAGCACCAACCAGGAGAGACACAGGTCCAGTAAACATGTGGCTGCGCTCAGTCTGCCCAGTATCCTGTCCACGTCTTCGGGCACGAAGAGCACGGCAGAAAGTGTGCAGATCCGGGATCCTCCGTATCTCTGGGGGGAGCTCGTTCCAGATAGTGGGTGCCCCCACAGAGAAGGCCCTCCCCCTGGGGGCCGCCAGTCGACACTGCTGGGCTGACAGCACCTGGAGGAGCCCCTCTCTATGAGAACGTACTGGCCGGTGGGAGGCTGTTTGTGGTAGTAGGCGGTCCCCTAAATAACCAGGTCCTAAGCCATGGAGCGCTCTAAAGGTGATAACCAATTTGGGATGAACGCCCTTGGAATGGGGTGGGAGTATAAACAGATTTTTCCAGGAAAAAAAAATCAGTAGTGCAAGAACCATTTGCACTACTCTGGTGACCCTGAAGACACAGATAAACCTCCAAGTGGCCTCAACAATTCTCTAAAAGGATTTAAATGATCAGATGATTGCAAGGGATATTAAATCCATTCCATTCCCCACCATCCAGTCAGAGCCGAAGAAGCTTCTTGGATGAGAAGCGAAACGTCTTCAAAAGAAAACAAGAAGCTTCAGTCACCTCCTGATAAAAAACCCCGTACCTTTGGGACAACCATGACCTGCATGACTAGAGAAAGTAAAGGTAAAGGTTCCCCTCGCACATACGTGCTAGTCGTTCCTGACTCTAGGGGGCAGTGCTCATCTCCATTTCAAAGCCGAAGAAGCCAGCACTATCCGAAGATGTCTCCGTGGTCATATGGCCAGCATGACTCAATGCCAAAGGCGCACAGAACGCTGTTACCTTCCCACCAAAGGTGGTCCCTATTTTTCTACTTGCATTTTTTTACATGCTTTCGAACTGCTAGGTTGGCAGAAGCTGGGACAAGTCACGGGAGCTCACCCCGTTACGCGGCACTAGGGATTCGAACCGCTGAACCGCCGACCTTTCGATCGACAAGCTCAGTGTCTTAAGCCACTGAGCAATCGCGTCCCTGATGACTTGAGAATCTTCATAGAATTCTTGTGCTTTGGTGTTTGGTGTAGATTTGTCTGTGGTTGTTTATTATTATTATTATTATTATTATTATTATTATTATTATTATTATTATTTCATATTTGTATACCGCCCTACTCCCGAAGGACTCAGGGCGGTGAACAGCCATAAATAAATACAAAGACATATAAAAGTTATCCAGGGCTGAGTGCGAGTGAATGACCAAGGTTAAGTGGAACCCGGAGCACATGTGTTAACAGAGGTTTTGATTGGTTGGGGATTGACAGAATTGCTTATTTGAACTTTTTGTGTATTAGGTGGGCCATGCCATGATTTGGGGTTTTATCCTGGAACCCAGGGCTGCTGTTAAGATGGGGCAAGCGGAAACTATGAGGTCAAGTGATGTGTGTGGGAGTACACAAAATGCAATCTCCCCGAAGGAAGATTTTGTAGCTGTTGTGTCTTTTCCGTGCTCGTCAAACTCCTATTGTAGAAGCTTTCAATTGGTCCAGAAGATGGATGAATAGATGGATGGATGTTGGAAGATACGTTTCCCCGAAAATAAGACCCAACCAGAAAATAAGCCCTAGCATGTTTTTTCAGGATGCTCGTAATATAAGCCCTAACCCCAAAATAAGCCCCCGTTAAGATCGTCAATCAGTTTTTTATTTGCTGAAACAAATTGCCAATTGACCTGATCAAAAGCCTTTTGGGCATCCAGAAAAACCAGAGCTACCCGCCTCTCTGGATGCACCTCATAATATTCTAATACATTAATTACAATTCTTATATTATTTTTTATTTGTCTCGTTGGTAAAAACCCATTTTGGTCCCGGTGTATCCTACAATTTAATATTTTTTTTCATCCTGTTTGCCATTATATTCATAAAAATTTTGTAGTGTTTAATAAAGAGATTGGTCTATAATTTTTTATTTGTGCTATATCTGCTCCTTCCGTCGGTATCATCTTTTGGAACAAAAATTAATATAAGACCCGGTCTTATTTTGTGGCAAACACGGTACATTTCACACGTTACAGGGGGGGGTCCTCAACTTACAATCAGAATCGAGCTGAAAATTTCTGTTTTGAGTTTTGGCCCCGTTTTGATGACCTTTCTCGCCACAGTTAAGGGAATCACTGCAGTTGATCAAGTTAGTAACCCCGTTCTTAAGTGAATCTCGGCTTCCTCATTGACTTTGCTCGACTCCGGGATATTGCAACCGTCACAAATCCATGTCAGTTGCCGACCCTCTGAATTTTGATCACGTGACTGCAGAGAATGCTGCAACAGTCCTGTGAAAAATGGTCACCAGTCAACTTTTCTGAGTGACGTTGTAAAACTTCAAAGGGTCACTAAAAAAAAAAAACTGTTGTAAGTTGAGGACTTTATCCCATGCAGGTCTGTGCTGGCTTCCCATTACCAGTGCAATTCAAAGTGTTTCTTTGGCGTATTAACCCTATACATGGCTGAACATCTGCATATTTACTTCCCTTCCCTGCCCGATTCAGACGCCCCAGGAGAACTTTTGCGAGGTGTAAACAGGTAGAAACTTGTGTCTCTTTTCTGTGGGTCCTTAAAAGGACCGTGGGATTGTGTGTGAAGCCAGGAGATCCTCGCGGATGTCTGGCTACCAGTCCGTCTGTTACTCATTTAGCACCACCCAGGAGGCACGTGTGGCTTAAGGGTTGCCACGGACGCGAGTAACTTTGCCTATTTCTAAGCATATTAATCCTAATAGTATACCTCCAGGATTTAATCTACCCCGACACATATGGGTGACATACAATAGAATTAGAACAACTCATGGAGGGTGTGCCAACTCCTTGTATAAATGGGGAAAGACACCTTCAGCACAACGTGATTGTGGGGGCCCCCGACAGACTATCCAACATACAGTGAGGGAATGCTCCAACAGAAGGTATCCAGATTTTAGGGACTTCCTCTGCGTAACGACGACAGCTATTGACTGGATCTCCAAACTCGACATTAAACTCTGAAATGTTATTTCTGTTTTCCTCTTAGGTTTTCTTACTGCTCTTTTTCTAACTGTTTTAATTGTTTTAACCTGTAAAAATGAAGTGTTTTGTGTGTGACCAGCCATGCGCTAAATAAACAAATAAATTCTGTGGCTACTCTTGGAAATAGCTTCTCCTCCACCTTGCCATAGATCTGTCCTCAAGTCTATCAACTTTCCTGACAGGCTCATTTGCTGCTGGTTAAGCCAACATTCGCCGAAACGTGGCCAACAACGGAGTCAGGCGATCGGTGGGATGATTTTTCCCCCGAAGGATCCATCCTAATAGGGTCAAAATAGGATGGGGGACATACTCCGAGTCCTTTCCCCCAATTATTGTCATCTGATAAAAGCTTAGGAAGTCTGCCTCTTCGGTGGCAGAGCCTGTCCTATGGAATATCTCCTCTCTGCCCCGAAATTTGGCAGGCCTCTTAGCTTCCTGACTTTCCGTAAAGCTTTGAAGAAAGACCTCGCTTGGGATAACGTGAGGTTGCTGCACATTCGAAGTCTGACTTGGCCACCAGGTTTTTCATTATTTTCAACGTTGCTTTTTTTTAAAATAGTTTTTAATATGATTTTTATGCTGCTTTGGAGGTTTTCGATTGGGAGCCGGTCCAGAGTTACCGTATTTTTCGGACTATAAGACGCAACAGAGTATAAGATGCACCAAGATTTCGAAGAGGAAAACAAGAAAAAAAAAATGTTTGCCCTCCGCGCGTCCGGTTTTTGCCCTCCCCGTCCCCAGGAGCACTCTGCAGGCCTCTCAAACCCTCTGCGCATCCAGTTTTTGCAAAAAAACAGGCCCATTTTTGGTGAAAACTGGATGCGTAGGGCGGGGTTTCGGGAGGCCAAAAATGGCTGTGTTCGGTGTATAAGATGCACCAACATTTCCACCCTCTTTTAAGAAGGGGGGAGTGTGTCTTGTACTCCGAAAAGTACAGCAGTTTTAAGACGGGCAGCTATATATTTAATAAATAAATAAAACACACATCTGCCAAAACACGACTGGATACAACTACTTCCCCCACCCCACCCCCCTCGGCCCAAAACGCCGTTCGCAGCAACGCACATCAAACCAGCCGTCTAAAAACAATACGTCTTTTTTTTATTGTTAAGTCAATAAAGAGGTATCAAAATTAAAAGAGGGGGAAAAAAAATTACAAGGGATGGAACTGAACTAGGAGGAGCGGATGAAGGGAAAAGGAGGTGGAACGACGACGACGATGACGGCGACGAAGGGCGGATGCCCAAACAGAAGACACGAACATTGTAAAACACACAGGGCTGCGAAAAGGGGAGGAGGGCAGTGAGGAAGCAGCCAGCAAATGGGGTGGGGGGGTGGGTGGAGGAAGAGGGGACAGGGGGGGTGCGAGAGGCTCAATCAGAAGAACGCCATGTGGGCCAAGGAGCAGAGAGAGGGGGAGAGGTAATGTTAGGCTCTTAGGAGTCATCTTCGCCATTGGCACTGTCTCTGTCGTCTTCCCCTTCTTCGGGTTCCTTATCGTCGCCCTTGATGGACTCCAACTGGGAGAGAGAAGGGGACAGGCAGAAGAGCCGAGTTAGCAAACAGGGAGAGCCGCCATCCTCACTCGAGGCTCTCTGCTTTCTCCAGCTTCGTACCTGGTCGTCTCCCCGGTCTTCGTTGTCGTCGTCGTCGTCCAGCAGGTCCCCTTCCTCGGCCGAGTCATCTGCCCCGGCCTCGGATTCCATCTTCACATTGCTCTCTTCTTTCTTGGTTGAGCTGCTGCTTTGCTCTTCTTCCGACTTGTCGTTCTTCAGTTCTGGGAAGGGAGGAGAAGACGGGCAGGGAATCAGAACGCGGGACGGTTTGGGGATTCGCTATCGTTTGGGGCCTCTTGCCTAGCAGGGAAAACTCCAAAGTGGTGGCGGGGGGGAGGAGGAGCTTTAACCGTTATGAAAGATGATCCCTCAATCATCCCACAAAGCAGGCCAATAGTTAGCAATATTTTTGGGAGAGAGCAGCTTCTGAAGTTCGTATCCTGCTTGAAAGGCTGCTGTAGAAAGCTTTCCCTCCATGCATGGAAGATTCTAGTGCTGCGAGTGGTGGGGTGGCCTACAGGGGGAGCTCTCGCTTCACAATCAAGGAGGCTGTGAGCTCGATCCTAGGTAGAGGCAGATATTTCTCTCTCTGGGCACAATGAGAATATATCTGCTGGGGGGAAAAAAAACTCCGCACCGGCGACAGGAAGGGGATCCGGCCAGTAAACCCTCAGCTCCATTCAGCTGCCCAGACTCTACCCGACAAGGGATTATGGAGTCATTAAAAGAGGAATGATGGAAGATTCTAGGGAGGCATGTGCTCCTACAATGGAGTATATCTTGGGGGCCTGGAAGAGGTTAGCACAGTGGTTCCCAACGTCGGGCCCATGCCCTACAGGCGGTCAATTTAATTTTTAATGGGGGCAATTTGAACCTTGTTTTTTTTTTTTTAATTTGATTTATATGCCGCCCTTCTCCGGAGATTCAGGGCGGCTTACAATGTGCTCAGCACATTAAACCAAGTTAATGGCTTTTTAGGCTTCCTCCGTGTCAGTAGAGTTCACTCTACATTAAGAATTATATGTCACCGGGCCGGGGGGGGGAAGGGTATCAGGATTTTAGAGATGCTTAGGTGGGGCATGACCAAAAAAAGGCTGGGAACCATTGAGTTAGCAGGAAGGACTCTAAGGGTTACAGCATAAAAAGGCACACTGTAAAAAGAGAAGCCCACTCTGTACCTACAAGATGTCCACGGGTGGTATTCATTTTACTTTCCCTACTGGTTCGCAAATGTGAGCGCAAGCGCGCTCACTTCGCTCGCATGTGCCCCGTCCACGCATGCGCCCGGCCTTCCGCTCATGTGATTTGCTGGCATGCGCGCCTTCCGTGCATGTGCCCGGCCTCAAAAATGTGCCTAAATAGGATGGCAGAGCCGGAGCGGGTGGACAGGCGCACCCGCGATTTCCGCTACCGGTACGGGCGAACCGGTCTGAACCGGCTGAATACAACTTCTGAAGATGTCCCAAATTCTACCTATGGCCCAGAAAACTGGCCATTCCCGACATAAGCTTTGTCCACATTCAAATATGAAATCATGTGGCCCTCGATTTCTTTCCCCCTCTCCCCCGAAGACTGAACCCTAAACAAATGTTTCAAGCCACAGCATGGATCCCACACGGATCTCCAGGCAGTTTATCTCTCCTTTCCCTCCCCGTCTCTTCCCTCCCACTGCTTACTTTGATCCTTCTCTATCTTCTCAAGGCTTTCCAGCAGAGAATCCACTTTCTGCTTAATCTGGGTCAGTTCCTTCTTAATGGCTTGCAAGTCATCTCCTTTCACTGCAACACAGAAGGGAAGCTCAATTAACTGGAAGTTTCAGCACCGGAGTGTATTAAATAAGTATTAAAAAATACTCAAGAAAACACATAAAAATATATAAATATATATTATATATTGTATTGTATTGTATTGTATTGTACTGTACTGTATTATATAGATAGATAGATAGATAGATAGATAGATATAGATAGATAGATAGATAGATAGATAGATAGAATATACAAAAAAAAATTTTTTTTTCCTCCCCACCTTCTCCTCTAAAAGCCCTCCTCCCTCTTCGAAGAGGCACTGCAGCCCAGTTGAAACAGGGAGGAGGGCACAGACGCTGGAATAACCCAATTTAAATAATACACAAAATCTCTTTTCCCCTGCCCCCATTTGCTGTAGATCCTGCTCAAGGGTTCCGACACCTACATTTCCCAGATTTGGAGGACGATCCCCGCTGCCCGCTCTTCGAGTTGAATCCGCTCTTTCCTCTGCGAGAGGTATTGCCAGAAACCCGCTGGCGTTTGGAAGGGACCACGGCCCTGGCAATGGGGGGTGGAGGGGGCACTCGTGCTTGGTAACTGTACATCCTTAGGAGAAGCGGAAAAGGAAAGGGGGGGGAGGAAAATATACTTTAGCTTCAAAACCGCTTTGCGAATCCACCGCCCGGCATCGCACTGCAAATCTCTGCTGAGGTTTCTCAAAATACCTTTCTTCTAATTAGATAAGCTAATTGAGAGCATGATGTACTCCCTTTGGAGACATGTTGGCTCTTTCGGCAACCCCCACACCTCAGAAATATATCCCTTGGCTAAAGAAGAGGGCCCAGAACTTTTTTAGAATTAGAATAGAGCTGGAAGGGACCTTGGAGGTCTTCTAGACCGACCCCCTGCTGAAGGAGGAGACCCTATATCCGTGATGGCGAACCTGTGGCACGCGGAGCCATATCGGTGGGCACGCGAATGCATGTGCGTGCTGGCCAGCTGATTTTTGGGCCTTCCGGGGCCACCAGAAGTCGGGAAACAGGCTATTTCCAGCCTCCAGAGGGCCTCGGGGGGGGGGGGAGGCTGTTTTCGCCCTCCCCAGGCTCCAAGAAAGCCTCTGGAACCTGGGGAGGGCGAAAAACGGCCTTTCCAGTCCCACTGGAAGTTGGCAAACAGGCAGTTTCCAGCCTCTGGGGGGATGGAGAAAGCTGTTTTTGCCCTCCCCGGGCTCCAAGAAAGCCTCTGGAGACTGGGGAGGGTGAAAAACGGTCTTTCCAGTCCCACCGGAAGTCGGCAAATGGGCTGTTTCCGGCCTCCGGGAGGAGTGGGGAAGGCTGTTTTCACCTTCCCCAGGCTCCAAGAAAATTTCTCTGGAATCTGGGGAGGGCGAAAAATGGGCCTACTGAGCCCACCGTGCCATCGTGTGCCATAAGCAGGAGGGGAGCGCAGGAATGTCGCACGCACATGCATGGGGTGGGGTGCACTGAATTATGAGTGTGGGCGCAACCCCCCCACGCTCCCCTGCTTTTGGCACACGACGGCAAAAAGGTTAGCCAACACTGTCCTATATCATTTCAGACAGGTGGCTGCCCAGTCTTTTCTTAAAATACCTCCAGTGATGGAACTCTTATACTTTAAACTCTGCTCTTATACCTCTTCCCTCTCTCCCAAAACATTTGATCAAAATCTTCTCTTAAATCTTGTTAGCACAGTCAACAGCTACCCCATTTTCTTCCTAATTTTGGAGGCCACGGGATCTCAAGAGATTAATTCCCATTAATCTAAACGTTTGTGGCATGCACAGATACCCTCTACGAGGTCACAGAAGGGCTTTTTTTCTTAGCGAAGAAAAAGGGGAGGAGAGCGTTCGGTTCACACTCCACAAATTCAACGGAATGAATACGCTTCAGTCCTAACAATTTTACCCCCGTGTCGTTATATAAATTCGAATCCGATTCCCTGGATCTGGAGTTTGAGCCCAAAATTTTGGGAGCCTGCATGCAGACCCTCAGAAACCTTAGTTCTGTACTTCTGTTCTACAGCAACATTTTACTGGTAAAATGTTAACTTCTCTGTCTCAAACCCATCACATCCCAGAAAATTGTTTGTAACGATACGAAATGGAAGTGTGCCAATTGAGACCATCTGCCGACTTCAGAATTATCTACCCTAACAAATCTCTCTAGATCAGAGGTGTCAAACTCCATTTCATTGAGGGCCACATCAGGGTTGTGTTTGACGTCGGGGAGTCCAGCGGGGGGGGGGGGGTGGAAATGGCCAGCTTGACATCACTCGTGTCAGGAGCGCCTGTGGTGGCCAAAAGCGTTGTGCCAGCGAAAATGGAGACCGGGAGGACCGCGTGCGGCCCGTCCGAGCGCCGTTTTCACTGGCAGAGGGTTGCAGGAGGCTGTCGCAGCCAAAAACAGAGCTCGGGAGAGGTTTGGGGTTTGGGGTTTGTCAGCATGCGGCCATCCCAAGCTCCGTTTTCGCTGGCAGAGGCACCGTGGGCTAGTGCCTTTGCTGTTTGTAGGGCAGCCCCGCGGACCAGACGTAAGCACCCCGTTCTTGGGCCTTGAGTTCCGACACTCCTGCTCTAGATGTTTAAACCTAGCTGAAGATGCCAGCATTACCCCCATGCAGAGAATGAACTTCACCACTAATTTTATATCCTGCTTCAGAGCTGGGGTTCTTTCTCAACCTCTTTCCTTTGGTTGAATCTGCAGGAAATTCAGCATTGCAGGCATCTTGCTACGGGAGCATTCCATGAACCAAGCGCCTATCCCTTTGATGAAGCACTGCCTCCCATCTTCTTCCCCCCTCCCCCCCGCCCTCTGCAGCTTTGGCAGTGGCTATAACACTGCCAAACCTCTGGCTCGTGCTCAGTGAGCAAACATTACACTTCTGAGAGTGAGCTATACAGTACAAACGACCTTCAGAAATAGAGAGGACACCGTGCTGCTCTTTAGTAGAACTGTTGAAAAGAGGGTATGATTGCCAGCCAGACGAGCAATACATTTTTGGCGAAGAACTGCCATCGAGCCTTTTGAGTTGTGTGTGCCCTGAAGGCATTAATACAAGAGCTATTTTGTGGAGCTAAGCTAAGCTAAAAATCTGATTTAAGTTTTAATTAAAATTGAATTACAAGTATCTCTATTATCCTGTCATGTATTTGATAAGTATCTCTCTCTCAAACACATACACAATTTAGCCTGTGTAATTGGGCAACAACTTTGGGAGTTTGGTGGGGTCCACACTGTACGCTCTGGGGAGGCGGTGAACGGAGCCCTAAGGTTTTTGTCTCCTAGGGCTGCGATCTCAGTTCAGAGCTGTTTTCCCACCAGAATTAAAAGCACAAAAAAACAGAGCAGAGCAATTTGGCACATTACCTGTCGTAATAGTCACGCTGGAAGTCATAATCAAGGTCAAACGAAGACCTGAAAAGACAAAGCATGGAAACACACGGTCAGGTCTCAGAGAGGGTGGGGACCCTAGCCCCCCCTTTCTAAAGGGCTGGGGGAATCACAAGACAATCCTTTAAACTATTAGCATGAGGAGTTCTGCTCATAGCCCAAATTAGCAAAAAAGTGAAATGGTTTAGTTACAATGCAAAGGTGAAAGCAAGCAGGGTCCCCCCCCCCAATTCCATCTCCCCGCATTGCTGCTGCCCCCTCCCCCCCCCCCGCTCCAAAAAGCCATCTGCTGCTTGGCACTGTGATCCCCCAGTTTCATCACCCCCAAATACATCAACGCCGCACTGCAGTATCTGACAGTGTGCGCACAGACACACAGGCACACCCACATCCACAAACACAATCGGATCTTGCATCTTGCACCCAAGCTGGGCAGACAGAGGCATTGCTCATTCCAGAGCCCGTTCCCAAAAATTAAATTAGGAAATTAAAAAAAAAGAAAGAGAGAGAGAGAGAGAAAGAGTGAGAGAGAAAGTTAAAAATAATGTAAACGTAAGGATCCCGACCTGACTAGAGGGGACGGAGAAGGTGGTGCGGCTACTGACCCGTACATCTCTGTGGCCGATCTCTTCACCCCAGCTTTACCCCGGTTCAACTTCGGCTCCGCAGCCAGATTAATATCTGAACGAGACACAGAAGCTCCGTTTGAAACCTTAGGATCTCCACAGGCTCTTGGGAGAAAATTTACAATTCTGCTGCCATAAGGGTAAGGCGACTTTTCTCACCCGTGGAGAACAAACTTTCTTAGAAGTCCCTAGTACCTAATTGCTAAGATGTTTAAAAACATGTCCGTCAAATGTTGGAAATGCAATCAGATACTGGGCTTGTACTACCATATGCAGTGGACTTGCCCAAAGGGAAAAAAAAAAAAAAAAGTGGTTGGAGGGTGGGATGAAAATACATATATGGTTAGAGGAAATGATAAAGCAACGTAATAGATTTAATTACGTTAAATCAGTATTTTGCCAGGAAAAAAAATATAATAAAAAAGTATGCATATTGAATACGACACATTTTTGACAGCAGCTAGAATTGCATTTGCACAACACTGGAAAAATGAGGAAACTCCTTCAGGTGAAAATATAATCAAAAAAATATGAGATTGTGCGGAAATGGATAGGTTAACGCTAAGGATAAAGAAGAATATTTTTTAAATTCGGGATTTGTTTTATCAATGGTTAGATAATAAAGGGAGACATTAGAAGCTGGAAGGATATTATTATATACAAATAAAGATTATTATTATTGTGTATATGTAAAATGACCCAGACAATACACTGTCTATTAAATACTTATATATGTTAAAGGAAAATGTATAAATACTTATATATGTTAAAGGAAAATGTATAAATATTTTTTTTAAAAAAAGAAGAAGTCCCTAGCTAATTGCTGAGGAATCTGGGAGATTAGGGTTACAACAATTGGAGAATGCCAGAAAGGCCAAAAATATTGTTATCTACCAGCTGCCTTTACTTATAATATCTGGAAAAGGAAAGTGTTACACATGTTCTGGGGTTCAACTTATGGTCAACCATTCACACAGCCTGTCAAGGCATGTCCCCCCCCTTTCCCGGCTTCCTACCTGGGTTAGAGGAGACAACACACAGCCTTGGTCAATGGCTGGGAAATTAATTAGAGACACTCAAATCCCTTTCAACCAAGCATTGAGACGCAACCGGTTCTTTGGAATTACACGGGACACATTTATCCACCTCTCCCCCGGGGGAATTTCAAGTTAACAGCAAAACTTCATCAGTTACACTGTGCATTTGTTCTTTCTCGCGCCCACCCACACATTCGTCCGCACTTACGTGCTTGTTAACTAGGCTGCCAGGCACTAACTTAGAAGGATGGAAACTCTGAATTCAAAGGAGCCTTCAAGACTCCTTTTATGTCCCTACTTTGTTGATGCACAACACTGGCAGCTTACTCTTGCCTTAATTTGCACATCTAGTAGTGGTGATGGGATCCGAGACAGGTTTCCATGTGCTCAGGGCCCAACTTACTTTGTCTGGTGACCTATTTCCCCTTTGTTTCCTTAGCTCCCCCCACCCCACGAAGGGATCTTTCAGACAGTATTCCTGGGGGGGGGGGGTTTGTTTTTGTTTTTATCTTCCCTGCTTCATCTTTAGCTATGGCAGCTTCGGACTAGTCTCACAAAAGTTCTAGGGTGGATAAAAAATTGATGATTTTTAAAAATAAATAAATAAATAAAAACGGATTTAAAATTTTTTTTTATCAAATTTACTTTAATAAAATGCTTTTGGAGTAAAAAAAAAATCCATCAAAAGATAGTTTTCTATTTAAAGTAACATTAATAATTTAATGTTGAAATGGAGCTTAGTTATGTAGCATGAGGCTGTTTATTCTGCAATATTGGGACTGTCGGTATGTCGACCGCAGGGCAGAAGAGGAGCTGTGGGACAAGATGACAGCTGCTCTTTAAAAATCGTGATTTAAACCCAACCCTGCAAAAGTCCACACCTCTAAAGGTCTCTGCTCCACTTTTAAATAGTGCTGTTGTGGACTTTAAGGTTTAGCCCAAATCTGCCTTCCATTTGCACTGTTCTTGTGTGGAGAATTAACTGGGCTCTATCTTCTGCCTGACCACTTTTCAAAGATTGGAAGTTACACCTTTGTACTTCATGCTTCAATCCCAGTAAAACAATTCCAGATGTTTTTAAAACATTTGCCTTTATCTAAGTGGCCATTATGTGAATATTCTTCATAAATTGTGGAGCCTTGATCCGAAGGCAAAACTCCAAATATTCTTTGTCTGGCACTGAACAGGGCAGAATTTGCATTGTTCATGATCAATGGACCAGTAATCTTCTCCTGAGGCAACCTATTTATGTTACCGTATTTTTTCGGAATAGAAGACGCACCTTTTTCCCCCCAAAGAAGAGGGTGAAAATCTGGGTGCGTCTTATACTCCAAATGTAGCCCCGCCCAGCTTCTCAAATGGAGGTTTCAGAGGCTGAAAAAAGTATCAGAAACGAAGCTTCAGAAAAGAAGCCTCCAAACAGAGCTTCAGAAAAAAAGCCTCCAAACAGAGCTTCAGAAAAGAAGCCCCCAGAGCTTCAGAAAAAAAAAGCCCCCAATCAGAGCTTCAGAACAAAAGCCTCCAATCAGAGCTTCAGAACAAAAGCCTCCAAACAGAGCTTCAGGAAAAAAAGCCTCCAAACAGAGTTTCAGAAAAAAAGCCCCCAAACAGTGTTTCAGAAAAGAAGCCCCAAACAGAGCTTCAGGAAAAAAAGCCTCCAAACAGAGCTTCAGGAAAAAAAGCCTCCAAACAGAGCTTCAGAAAAAAAAAAAGCCCCCAATCAGAGCTTCAGAACAAAAGCCTCCAAACAGAGCTTCAGGAAAAAAAGCCTCCAAACAGAGCTTCAGAAAAAAAAAAAGCCCCCAATCAGAGCTTCAGAACAAAAGCCTCCAAACAGAGCTTCAGGAAAAAAAGCCTCCAAACAGAGCTTCAGAGAAAAAGCCTCCAAACAGAGCTTCAGAAAAGAAGCCCCCAAACAGAGCTTCAGAAAAAAAGCCCCCAATCAAAGCTTCAGAAAAAAAGCCTCCAAACAGAGCTTCAGAAAAGAAGCCCCCAAACAGAGCTTCAGGAAAAAAAGCCCCCAAACAGAGCTTCAGAAAAAAAGCCCCCAATCAGAGCTTCAGAAAAAAAGCCTCCAGAGCTTCAGAAAAAAAGCCTCCAAACAGAGCTTCAGAAAAGAAGCCTCCAAACAGAGCTTCAGAAAAGAAGCCCCCAAACAGAGCTTCAGAAAAGAAGCCCCCAAACAGAGCTTCAGGAAAAAAAGCCTCCAAACAGAGCTTCAGAAAAGAAGCCCCCAAACAGAGCTTCAGAAAAAAAAAGCCCCCAAACAGAGCTTCAGAAAAAAAAAGCCCCCAATCAGAGCTTCAGAAAAAAAGCCCCCAAACAGAGCTTCAGGAAAAAAAGCCCCCAATCAGAGCTTCAGAAAAAAAAGCCTCCAAACAGAGCTTCAGAAAAAAAGCCTCCAAACAGAGTTTCAGAAAAAAAGCCTCCAAACAGAGCTTCAGAAAAGAAGCCCCCAAACAGAGCTTCAGGAAAAAAAGCCCCCAATCAGAGCTTCAGAAAAAAAAGCCTCCAAACAGAGCTTCAGAAAAAAAAGCCTCCAAACAGAGCTTCAGAAAAGAAGCCCCCAGAGCTTCAGAGGCTTTTTTTCTGAAGCTGTTTCGGAGGCTTTCAGAGGCAGAAAAGAAAGTTTTTTTCTGAAACAGAGTTTCAGAAGTTTCAGAGGCAGAAAAAAAAAGCAAAAAAAAAAAAAAAAGCAAGGCACAGAGCTCACAACCAAGGAACCTGTTGCTAAAATTCACCTCTAGGAACAGCTGATTGGGTATATTCCAGGAGGCCGACCCACCTGCCAATTAGCTTTTTTCTTATTTTCCTCCCCAAAAACTAAGGTGCGTCTTATACTCCGGTGTGTCTTGTACTCCAAAAAATACGGTAATTTTTAAGCAACCACATTACTGTCTCATATAGTATCCAATAGATGCCTAGAACTTTCTTCCGCGTATACAATGAACTGCTCTTGCCAAATCTACATGCGATTTTGATTTTAGGGTTTCAATGCATGTCTTCAAGCATGTCCTTTTCTGAATGTAATCACATTACTCTCCGCCGTCTATCATCGGTAAATTAGATAAAGCATTGCTTTATATGAAGGGAGGACAAGAAGCAATGAATGGAAAATAAACAAAGAGAGATCCAACCTAAAACTAAGGAGAAATTTCTTGACAGTTACAACAATCAGTCAGTGGAACTGCTTGCCTCCGGAAGTTGTGGGCGCTCCAACACTGGAGATTGGATAATCGTTTGTCTGAAATTGTACAGGGTTTCCTGCCTGAGCAGGGGATTGGACTAGAAGACCTCCAAATTCCCTTCCAACTCTGCTATTGTTATCGAAAACATGTATAAAATCGTAAGAACTGGGAAAGCCTTGGAGGCCACAGATTCTAATCCGCTTAAGACTTATATACCGCTTCACAGTGCCTTACAGCCCCTCTATCAAGCGGTTTAGAGTCAGCATATTGCCCCCAACCATCTGGGTCCTTATTTTATCGCCCTCGGAAAGATGGAAGGCCGAGTTAACCTTGAGCTGATCAGAATCGAACTCCTGGCAGCGAGCAGTGAGTTGGCCTGCAATACTGCCTTCTAAACACTGCGCTACCACGGCTCATCTAAGTCAGAGCTGTCAAACTCCCGGCCCATGGGTGTCACATGCTGGCCATGCCCATGCCCGATTTAGCAAAGGGAAAAAAAGTCCCGATACATCGCGTGACACCGGGAGTTTGACACCCATGGATCTAAGTAGTCTGGCATAGGATGGCCCAACCTTTCTTGGTTTTTTTGACATCTAATGAACAAAGTAGAGAGCCTAACATCTTCCTGGGTAAACACAGCAGCATGCCTGCAAGCATCTCCTTACATGTTGTTACAACACTCCTTACAACGCTCAGTTAATATCCTTGGCACATTGCTTTAAACTGTTCTGACCTAGGCTTCCTTAGAAAGTAAACAGCACAAACGTAGTCCCGGCAAACCACTTTAATTCAAACGGCTGTGAATTATTGCTATTCCCAGTCCGAAAGGC